TCTCTATAATCTTATATTAATTTATTTAATTAATATAAGAGAAGTTAATATAGTAGGCGAATATAAAGAATATTATAAAGAAATTAAGTAATAATAAAGCTTTTAATATTAAGAATACGATTTAACTCTCTAAAATTCTATATTATATACTCTTTATAATTCTATATTAAATTATTACTTCGAAATAATATATATTTAAATAAATTAAAATCGTTTAATATTTATAGCTATTTTATTATTCGAAAAATTTTATTATAATAGAAGATATTATAAGATTTATATTACTAATTAATACGTTATCTTTATTTCTTTTTAATATTTTAATACTTCTTATTATAAAAATATAGTCTTTTCTTTATTTTTTATAAATAATTATTATATCTTTCTAATTAAACCTTAACGCGCCTCTTTTTATATATATATATTTATATATTATATAGATTAAATTAATTTTATAATAATAAAAGTAGATTAAAAATATATAATAAGCGATTAAAGTTTAATTTAATTTAGAATTAAAATTAAAATTCGATTTAACTTAAAAAAATTTAACTTTATTTAATTTAGAAAAATTTAACTTTATAAATTTAATTTATAGGCCTTTATTTATATAATATAATATTTTAAAAAATTAAACTATATTCTTAATAATAATAATTTTATTATTATTTAATTTTTTTATAATATTCTTTATAATATTCTCTATAATATTCTTTATATTTATTTATTATAATTTTTTTTTTTTTATAAAATATTAAATTAAATAATTAATTAAATAATTAACTAAGTAGATAATTAATATAATATAAAATCTTAAAAAGTTAAATTATATTCTTAATAATAATAATTTTATTATTATTTAATTTCTTTATAATATTCTTTATATTTATTTATTAATATTTATTTATTAATATTTATTTATTTATTTATTTAATAATTTTAATTAAAAAATAATTATAAATTTTATTAAAATAATAATTATTTAATTATTTAAATTTATAAGTAAAGGTTTATAAATTAAATTTATAAAGTTAGATTTTTTTAATTAAATTAAATTAAACTCTAATCGCTTATTATATATTTTTAATTTATATATAAATATATATATATAAAAAGAAATACGCTAAGATTTAATTAGAAAGATATATTAAATATAAAAAATTAATTTATAATAATTATTTATAAAAAATAGAGAAAGACTATATTCTTATAATAAGAAGTATTAAAATATTAAAAAGAAATAAAGATAATATATTAATTAGTAATATAAATTTTATATTATCTTCTATTATAATAAAATCTTTTAAATAATAAAATAGCTATTAAAGTAAGATATTAAATAATTTTAATTTATTTAAATATATATTATTTCGAAATAATAATTTAATATAAAATTATAAAAAGTATATAATATAAGATTTTAGAGAGCTAAGTCGTATTCTTAATATTAAGAGTCTTATTATTACTTAATTTCTTTATAATATTCTTTATATTTATTTATTATTATAATTTCTTTTTTTACTTCTTAATATAATAAAGATAATAAATTAAATTATAATAATATTCTTTATTTATTAAATAATAATTTAATATAAAATTATAAAGAGTATATAATATAAGATTTTAAAAAGTTAAATCGTATTTTTAATAATAATAATTTTATTATTACTTAATTTCTTTATAATATTCTTTATATTTATCTATTATAATTTCTTTTTTTATTTCTTAATATAATAAAGATAATAGATTAAATTATAATAATATTCTTTATTTATTAAATAATAATTTAATATAAAATAATTAAATTATAATAATATTCTTTACTTATTAAATAATAATTTAATATAAAATTATAAAAAATATATAACGTAAAATTTTAAAGAGCTAAGTTATATTTTTAATAATAATAATTTTATTATTATTTAATTTCTTTATAATATTCTTTATATTTATTTATTATAATTTTTTTTTTTTATTTTTTAATATAGTAGAGATAATAAATTAAATTATAATAATATTCTTTACTTATTAAATAATAATTTAATATAAAATTATAAAAAGTATATAATATTTAAATATATTTAATATAATTATAATATTTAAATATTAATTTAATTTATTTATTACTAATTTAAAAGAAATATATAAAAAAAATATATTTATTTAAACTCTTTTTAAGAGTTTTTTAATACGTTTATAAGTAGTAATAGATAGTTATTAAACTTACTTATAGTCTTAATTATTAATAATAATAAATTTATTAAAAAATAATTTAAGAATATTAATAAGAAGCTTTAATTAAGTAAGAGATATTAAAGATAATTATATTTATATTAATAAAATTAATAGAATTAATAGAATTAATAGAATTAATAAAATAGAATTAATAGAATTAATAGAATAATAGAAGAATAATAAATAAATAAAAGAATTATTATTTAATTTTAAACGCGTTTAATATAACTATTATAACTACTATATTTAAATATTTATTTAATTTATTAATAATAGATTAAATTTTATAATTTTTATAGCGTTAGAAAGTATAAAGCGAGTTTTATAATTTAAGAAATTATAAAGTAATTATATATATTATAAGCTAAGTACTTTAAAATATAAAATTTTTATATATATATTTTTAATAAGAGAGTTTAAGAGAATTAGCGAGTTAATTTAATTAATCTAATTAAAAAATATAATAATTTTAAATTTATAATTAATTATATATATAAATTTAAAATTTTATAACTTAACTTTATCTTATTCTTTTATATATATTAAATTAATTTTTTATATTTAATATATCTTTCTAATTAAGTCTTAACGCGTCTCTTTTTATATATATATATTTATAAATTAAAAATATATAATAAGTAATTAGAGTTTAATTTAATTTAGAATTAAAATTAAAATTTAATTTAATTTAGAAAAATTTAATTTTATAAATTTAATTTATAAATCTTTATTTATATAATATATTATTATAATAAATATATAAAAAAAGAATTTATTATATTAATTATAATTAATTAAATCTTTATAAATAAAAATTATTTATTAAATAATATATATTTAAATAAATTAAAATTATTTAATATCTTATTTTAATAATTATTTTATTATTTAAAAGTTTTTATTTTAATAAAAGATTTTATAGAATATATATTATTAATTAATACGATATCTCTACTTCTTTCTAATTTTTTAAAAAATTATATATATATATTTCTTATTATAAAAATATAATATTTCTCTATTTTTTATAAATAATTATTATAAAATATTTTAGAAATATTTATAAAATTATTAATATAAAATTAATATTATATATATTTATTTATAAATTATATAAATAATTAATATTTTTTATATTATATATATATATAAATTAAATTATAATAATTTTTTAATAAATATTTATAATTATTAAAATCTCGCTCTTCTATATTTTCTTTATTAAAAAAATAGATATATATTATTTATAATAATAATAACTTTTTTATTTTCTATTAAAATTTTAAAATTTAAAATTTAAAATTTTAAAACGCTATTTATACTTTTCAAATTTTTAAAAATATTAAAAATTTATTTTATAATTATTAAAGCGTAAGAAATTTAAATATTACTTATTAAAATTCGTTTATTAAAAATTATTTATTTATTTACTTAATAATCTTAATTAAAAAAATAATTATAAATTTAATTTATAAGTTTTTACTTATTTATATATAATATAATTATAATTTTATTTTTATTTTTTATAATTAAATTATTTATAATTATTTTAATATTTTTATAATAATTATTTCTATTATTTCTATTATTTCTATTATTATTATTATTATTATTATTATTATTATTATTATTTATTTATTAGAAAATTATATCTATTATTTCTATTATTTCTATTATTATTATTATTATTATTATTATTATTATTATTACTATTATTATTTATTTTAGAAAATTATATCTAAGAAAAATTACGAAAAAAATCGAAAAAAGTAAAGTTTTAAAATTCTCGAATAATTTTTTTTATTCGAATTATGAACTAGCTAATTTTTTTTTTTTTTTTTTTTTTTTGATTCATCTAGTTAAATCTCTAATTACTTATTTATAGATTTAATCTTCAGTAAGCTAAATAACAGCGCTCTAAAATTTAAAAAATTTGAATTAGTGATTTTTTATATAAAAGCTCAAAAAAAAAAATCTTCGAAATATTGGCGGTAAAGATTTATTAATAAAAGATATCTCTTAAATCGATAATCTTTATCTAAAATTCGTTATCTCGAATTATTCGAATTATTAAAAGATTTAAAAAATATATATAATTTTATAATCTAAGTTATCGCTAAAGGTAGCTAGAATTACTTTATTTTCGAAAAAATCGAATTAGTAATAGATTCGAAAAAATCGTAGTTTTAAAAAATATATTTATAATCTTGGCGGTTCTATCTAACTCTCTTGGAAACTAAATTTCGAAAAATTCGAATTAGCTAATTTTTATAATTTTCATCTTTAATAAAGAACTTCGAAAAATATAAATATTCTTAAGAAAATTATAATTCTTAAGTTATAGCTTAATAATAATATATTATAAAAAAATCGAATTAGTAATATAAATAGAAAAGCTTTAAAATAATTAAATTTTAAAATAATATTTATACGATAATATGTTATCTACGTCATATCTTATTAAGAAATTCTCTAGTATTTTCTAAGATTTAAGAAATTTAAATTAGTAAAGAGCTCGAAAAAAGAGTTTTGCTTTCCAAGCGTATGCCGATGAGCCTATGATAGATTGGCATATCATGATATTAAACCACATGGATGGTAGCATGGGTGATTTAGGAAGATGTTCCAGAGTCGCGTAAACTGTCAGATCTAGCGCCTTTCAGGGACCGAGATCCGAGGTTCTTCCGGGTCATTGACATGTTCGAGGATCCCTTTGAGCCCCTCTAGCTCTCAATTGTGCTGCAACAACAACCGCAATCCTCGTGATGAGCGACTCCGAAGGGCCCAAGTCCAAGGAAATACCCTCATGGCAACGTCAAGAACCCTCGAGTTTGCCAAAACAGCCTGACGACTCTCCATCACAAGAGCCCGCTGAGCGACAGCCTCCAGAATCCAGAGCTCCTCTGATCGAGAAAGCTTCCAAATTCCTCGAAGATGACTCTATACGCGATGCCCCAATTGAACGAAAGAGGCTGTTTCTGGAGTCCAAAGGTCTGACTGAGACCGAAATCGACGACCTACTCGAAATCCAACATACCCCCGAAGCAGCCGTCATGGAGGACTATGGGATAGAGCGAGAAGGAATCTCACAATCTACACCTCCCACTGCCCCTCAAACCCCCTCAACATCGTCAGTTCCCCAAGAACGACCACCAGCCGCACCATCAAAGGACAACCCCCCCATAATAACGTATCCTGAGTTCCTCCTCCACGCCCAAAAGCCCGCCCCACTCATTACGGCCAACCGTCTCCTCACATCTCTATACATCGCGTCTGGCGCCGGGGCTACGATCTACGGAACGAGCAAATACATTGTGGAACCCATGGTTGAAAGCTTGACATCGGCGAGGCATTCGCTGTTTGAAGGTGCAGGAGCAAATATTGATGCTTTGAATGAGAAGCTCAAGAGCGCCGTGTCAAAAGTGCCAGAAATACCACACCATTCCAAGGAGGATGATTCAGATAAAGACTCTCTAAGCTCGGACGGGGCACGCTTCTTCAACCGCTCCGCAGGCACACAGACATCACCGCATCTTTCTCGGTCGAATTCCTCTACCTCCTCTGACCCCGATGAAACGCTTTCGCCTGCCCAAGACCACACGAGCGCACTCTTGGGGATTCATAGCAAGCTATCTGATCTCCTCCCCGCAGATGGTAAGCCGACGAACCCGCTCGGCGACAGCATAAGCGAGCTACGATCATATTTGGAGAAGCTGCCACAAGCGAATTCCCTACATCTAGGCGGGAAGGCCAGGAAAATCGGGGAGATTGATGCGGTGGCGAATGTGAAGGCTGAGATCAGAGGCGTGAAGGGCGTGCTGTTGAGTGCAAGGAATTTTCCCAGTGGAGTGGCTGCTCGATGACGTTGGGCTCGCTTGGCTTTCGATCGCGCTGGCGTTTGGACCCTTTGGGTTTCGAAAATAGCATGGAGTGCAATCAGATTTGCAATGATATAGGTATACCCCTTTTTGGATGGCGGCGCTCTGCAGCAACGATTTATTGCATACACATCAAAATTTGGTATCCGTCATCTCGTTGCAATCTCGAATGCGCCCAAACCCTACCCAATCTAATTGCAATATAGGGGCTCTTCTCCATAGAGCCTGCCACGATCCCGGTCAACATATTTCCCACGCTTATATATCTGGTATCATTTCTAACAATCAAAGCCCCGCAACGAGCAAAAGCCCATAGCCCAAAGTTATTACGACCAGAAAAGTAATGATACTGGCTGGTATGCCTCTCGAGATAAAATGTTTAACTTGCAAATACCGTTGGCCGGTTTGTGGATCTTCCATCATGATAGCCGCTGAAAGATTTGTCAATGACTGAATACGTGAAACGTGAGAAGAAAGCAGGCTTACTCATATTCGGAAAGCCGCTGGTAGGCAGACCCATGGCGGCAGAGCACATAAGCGCGCTACCCATAACCAGCAGATTCGGATGTGGTTCCTTCATGCCAGCGCCGACCGTATGAACCAAGGGCAAAATGATCAAGGCCGCAACTGTATGGCTGATAAATGTCGCAACGACTAGGATCAAGGCCGCAAAAACGACCAAGACACCATAAAGGCTCATGCCCTCCACTCTGTCTGTTATAGCACCAGCGATAGTATGCAGGAGACCTGACGACGAGACGGCTTTGCCAAGGGATAGGCCACCAGCGGCGAGGATAATGATAGTCCAAAGGAAGTTGTTGAAGTCTTCCTTCGTTAAGATGCCGGTGCCAAAGAAGAGGACGATGGGTATGATGGCTACAACACCCATGTCGCCAAAGACATTCTCCAACTGATGCGTGACGCACCACAGTACTATAGTTACCACGGTGACTCCGCTAATGAACCATTGTACGCCGGTGAACTTGTCCTTCATAGGCCGTATTGGCACGATGGTGGTGCCTTTTCCAGGCTGGAAGGTGATAAGGAGGAGTACCCAAATGAGGAGGATGGAAATAATGCAGACGGGGAGGGCGATGAAGAACCAGATCCCCCAACTAGGTTGGGGCCGCATGTTTTGGAGGGCGATGATGTTTTGCGGAGAAGCAATGGGGGAGGCAGCGCCACCAATGTTAGAGGCGAGGGCGATGCCAAGGATGAGGGCTTTGGAGAAATGGGAGTCCGAGGGTAGGTTGCGGAGGAGTGGCTGAATAGTGAGTCAGAACTCCCTGTGGGATTAATCAAAGAGGGAAACATACTTGAATGATCGAGAAACACAGTACTGGAGATGCAACGTTACTTATCCACATACTGAGGATCATAGCAACAAACATGTTCGTAATCAGAACAGTCCGCGGCCGTGTGCCCGCTTTGCTTAGGACGAACGTAGCCATCATCTTAGCAATGTGAAACTTCGAAAGTGCTGCTGCAATCGTAAAGCCTCCTAGCAACAGCATGATAACTGGCGTCCACATCGCTGCAAAGATGTACTTGGTCGCGGTTTTGGGGTCAAGTCGATGGTGCGGCTTTTCGTCTTGTCTGACTACTTGCAAGACAACGGTGAGGAAGGGCACTAAGAGTGCTGTCACGAAAAGAGGTATGACCTGGACTGGATCAGCAACCATCTAGGTGCTTGATTTTCCTCTGTCGGGCCTACCTCTGTCGCCCAAAGCAAGCTCACAAACACAAGCATTGCAAGACAATTTTGCTGCTCTGGTTTCTTCATGATTGGTACTACCAGCAGAATTGTGAAGATGACCAGGATTCCGATGAGCACGAAGAACGTTGAGCTAAACAGCCAGCGGGGGCATCTGTATCTTCCAATTGGAGTGTCAAGTTCTTTAGTACCCACGTCGTCCGGCTCATCGCCTTGTAATCGATGTTTCGAAGGATCGTTATCTCCACCAAGAAGTGTCCGTCCTAAGCCCATATTTGCAGCTTGAGCTTTTCGCTCTATACCGATCATTTCCCGCCATACGGTGTTCCTTTCCCAAACCACATGCTCTCGAAGATGTAGCCGTAACTCTCGTCGCGCACTGCCAATGTCCCCTTTTGTGATAACACCCGCGTATACCCTCTCAATATTCGTTATGTTCTCATCAATATGTTGCATGGTTTCCTGCTTGAATGGATATGCAGGAGTAACACTGTCCTTGACGTACGCACTTTTGAGGCTTCGATTTAACGTCTTGTCATATTTTTTGCAAACCTTCGAGAAGCCTGTTTTGTTGAGCTGGACGAATGATTTCAATTCGCACAGCGAAACAAATAGGCTGATTGTCCGCTTCTTCAAAGTCATGCCAGAAGCTAGCAGTCCCTCGAGTGCATTGTCACTGTAGTCATCCTGTGCTTGGCTCATCCTTCTTCTTGGCATAGGTAGTTCTCTCGAGCTTCTGACGTCGTCATGGGCGTGGCTTGCGTTGGTATCATAGGTTTTCCGCCGGCCTATGTGGCTGCCATTCATTGCCGTCCTATCGTCTGCATCGTCATCGCTGTCGCCTTCTTCGTCCCCTTCATCTATAGTTGACGCACTCATAGTACTTGTCCGCCGTTGTCTGCCACTAATCTTTCCGAAAAGGCTCCCACGGCGCGGCCTTCCATTCTTATCCGTAGCCCCATCCAACTGGTCGAAGTCCTGTCCTTCCGTCTCTGCCTCGTATGACTGCTCATCGTTCATCAATTCTCCCACTTCCCCGTAGATCTCGAGCTCTTTCAGCTGGTAAAAAGAACAGATCTTCTCCAGTTCCTGATCGAGGGCTCGCCGAAACACAGCATCAGGATCCTCGGTACTGATCAAAGGTGAGGCTTCGGCATCCTCATGGGCTATCGTAGATGACTGGTTGACGGATTTCTCAAGCTGGTATATTCTGATATAGTAGAAAGTGGTCAGCCCGAGCTTCTCATAGCCTCGATTGAGGCTTCGCCTGGGGAAAGAGCTTTGAACAGGGTCCGTGCGTACAATTTCTTGAGATTGCTGTAGGAGATGTAATGACTGCTCCAATCCGGCACCGCATTGAATTGGATACTGTGTGAGAACTTCATTTTTTCGAGTACAGAGAACTCGTGGAGCTTGCGCTCCGCCTCTTGCCTGTTTCTATTCTGATGGTCTTTCCAGCATTGCTGGTAGAGGTTGGAGTCTTTTCGAAGGAGCTGATTAAGCTCTATAGAAGTAGTCGTGATGATTCAAGAGCTCACATGAGCTCTCGAGGGTTCGCTACGGCTCTATTAAAAAGAAACGACAGGTGATCTGACCCGGCGTGGGGGTCCGTGCAGCGCCAATGATTGGTGGCAGATAGCCCCCCACAAGGGACGCCAAGATCGCCCCCAGACTGCCTGGGCAGACCCGGTCACGTTTGCCCCGGTAAGGTCCCTTGGGGCCAACCTTATTGAAGCTCTTGGGTCCACCTCTAGCGTGTTTGCTTCACAGATTTGGATCCTGGAAATGTGATATCATTCAAAGAATGAAGCATTTCCAACTCATATACCAATGCCTGGAGCTGGGGGAGGTCTACCGTGAAGACTAGGCGGCTGCTCATGACCCTCCATCATGTCAACACCGACACCAAGATCAAAAATCATGCCTGGACAAGCTCTCGACGGTTCTCCCCTCGCAAGTGATGTACTCTCTAGAAGTCTGTCCTCATTCGGCCCTCCGATATCGACCCTATCCCTAAACAAGGGGACCAAGAGGAAAGCAAGCAGTATGGAGAAGGTCAAACCACCTCAGGCTGCTTCACAATCGTTCCTGCCCATTAAGCTAGAGCCGGGCTCGTCACATCGTTTCGACTACAGAGGAAGCCATATGAAAGACATTCACCATGAGCTTTGTGAAATACCAACAGGACACGCGAGCAGCTCGAGTAGCGATGATACGGATGACCAAGTGCTCGAACTCCATGAGAAAGAGGGTACTTCCACAATGGGACCGTCCAGGACACCACGGGCCGCTGGAGTACGGCTCAATATGTCGTCTGGAGACATATTTGCCCTATCAAAAGACGAATCGGGAATTCATACGGCTAGTGGTGCGCTAATAAACAACTACGGAGGGACTCATGGCTTGCTGCGCCCTTTGTCAGTGGTCGACAATTCTCCGCCAACACGCTGGCAGAAAGCCTCTGGACGAGCAAAGGAACCTCGCCGTCACTCTGGGAAAAGGCTTGACGATGTGGCTTACGACTCCATTCCAGACTATGCTCCTCCGATATCAACTCTACCCAGAGGCAATCCGCACAGCCTCCGAGTCGAGTGGCGCCATAAAACCTTCGCTGACCTCTCCAACGACCCAGACCGACATATGCTTCACGAGGCGGAACTCAAACTTGCAACGTGTCTGAACTTGAGCTGTGCAAAATATTTATGCACCAAACGTCGGATCTTCCAAGCTCGTTTCGAAGTTTTACAGGCAGGCAGAGAGTTCAAAAAGTCAGACTCCCAGAAAGCTTGCAAGATAAACAGCAATAAGGCTGGCAAATTATGCGGCGCATTCGAGAAGGTCGGATGGTTCGACAAGAAGTATTTCCTCGAGTACCTAAATAAAAGTAACAACCCATTCACGACAGGCAACAATGAAGACGATGACCGGGGAAGCCTTTCTTCGGGACTGACTGAACCCGACATTTGGGACGTCAGCGAGTCAGAATTCCATTTCACAAGCGAGGAAGACGAGGAGTCCACCAATGATGATACTGCAGACTCAAGTGTCTCATTTGATGGCGGACATGATGAGACTGGAGAGGTGAAGAACCTCGACTCGTATCGAGGCAACTCGTTGAGGAAGCAACATTATGGACTTTCACTCGTTGGTGGGGACGGAAGCCAACGAAGAGTTCTTATTGACGAAACAATTCAAACTCATGACACTTCATCTGGGAACCAGACTGTAGACGAAGCCTCAACGATCGAGGACAGAAGAGAAAGGAGAGGAGCTGTACTTGAAGAGGCAGTGTTTCCCCGGAATCCTGACGGTCCTTCTGGAGATAACAACGAAGAAGTTCCAGTGCTCGAGACCAGAAGCATGACGCAAAAGATCGAGCTTGCTCTCAACAGCCGTTCTGAAGATAAGTCCGACGGGGTTTCCACCATCAAAGCCAAAAGTAGTCAGCAGAAGTTGAGTTTGAAGAAACTTCATCAAGGTGCAGCTCCCACCAATCAATTCAGTGCACGAAACCCTGTTGACCCCATACCTCACTCTTTGGATGAAGCAAATGCTGCGGATATCATGCTTGTGAAGATGAAGGAGAAGGGCCGCACGTGGCTCGAAATTGAAGAGGCCTGGGAAAAGAAAACAGGCAAAGCGCAGAGTACAAGGACACTGTCATGTCGGTATACCCGCATCGTGGCAAACATTGCCAGCTCCGGACTTAAACCAGACGAGGTTCGTGATAGTGGTCGCTCGATCACTTACCCTCGACTTGAACCGGATGATGTGAGTGACAACGGTTCGATCACTCAACCTAATCTAAGCTCACCAAATCACGACCAGCTTTTGCTTGCAACCGAAGCTGAAATTGAGGAAACTTTCCAACGTGAGAAGGCTGATATAGTTGCTGAAATGGAAAGCAATTTTGAATCGGAGAAGTGGAATCTGGTCGCTGAAGCTATGTCACGTATCGGATCGGCCCATCATTCGGCAGAATCGATCCGGGCACAGCATGAAAGATTGAGTATGTATGCTAAAAGAGCTGATCCGAAGGACGCAGAAAATGATGACACCTTCACTGATCTGCCACGGCGAACAACCCGTGCTGTGAGCGCGAGGAAAACTGAGACGTCGAGTCCGTTAAGGCATGGGGTCGGAAGACACGACGAGGCCTCAAATGCAACCAATTTGCCTCACCCACAACATCCACGGCTGCTTCTGTATCAAAATTGTCTGGACTCCAAAGGGCAAGCCACTACAGCTATCCGTGGACAAGTGTCCGCCAAAAGGTCTCGCAAGTGTGAAAGTTGTGGCAGAAAGTATGAAAGTCAAGCAGGCCTCATCTACCACCGTGAACACCACCCAAACTGCGAGTTGACCACACCCAGGTCCTATAAGAGCAAGAAAAGAAAGTTAAACAGCCACTCAAATCCAGGACATACTCAGCCAAGGGCTGACGGCCCGTTCGCAATTCTACCCGCTCCCCGGGTCTCTTCCCCCAACCTAACGCCACGCCAAACTCCTACAGCTCTACCTCATGTCGACAGAATCGGCAATGCGCCTGCACTCGAATATGCCGATCCCGGCCCTTCTGCGGACGGGGCCGAACGCGGACGCCGCAAAAATAAATCGCAAACTCACGCCGAACAGAGTGCACGGGCGCGAAGATTGTGGGCAATACGACGAGTACTGGGTACGGACGGTCGACGTGGTGGCCCGCCGAAGGCAAGTACGATCGCAAATAAAGCAAAAATGGCAATTTCTAAAACTACGCCTTACGGTGAAACCTCTCTCACTCCCACGGTCACAAAGCAGGGCGGTCACTCTACGGAACCGTTGCCAACCCAAACAAAGACTATAGGGATCGGAAAGGAAGTCTGTCGTGACGCCAACCAGATTCAGCAATCCCTCGAGCAGATAATACCTGCAGCTTCTCAAACAGACAGTGGCCCGGGACATGACAAGCCTTTCAGGATGGTAAGCGTGTCCCAAAACCATCACGGAGTGCTCGCTGACCGGACACAGCATGGTGAAAATCGCCATACGTGTAGGAAGTGCGGGATGAACTACGCCCACAAGGCCAACCACTATCGTGTGATTCCCAAAATCGGCTCCGAGCACACGCGAAGAATGGCCGCGAACAACGCGGCAGCGGAGACCCACTTAGGTTCTGCCATCACAGATGTAGCCGTGGAAAGTACTTCTGATATCCTACAGGGGCAGATGAACTTTGAGATTTCTTCCAGAGAGCAGAGTCGTGAACTATCGCTGTCACGTGAGGACAGAGTACTTCCAGGGGAAGTTCATGGTTAGAATAGTGTCTATTACCCGGCTGGTGCTTACAAGTATTACGATAGCTCGCAGATCAATAAGCAGATAGTAGCTAATGCAAGCGTGTCTAATGATTGCCAGATTTGGCGAGGTCGTCTCTTTCCTAACTATTTCCATCGCGCTGTTCCTGAGATGATCGACTTTAGACCCCACGGTTTGCTTTCTCGTTTCTTCGACAGCGTCTGGGTCAAGATATCTATGATTTGCGTAGCAACCGATGGTGTGGCCTAGAACTCGTCACTCGATGTCAAGATTGCACAAAAGAATTGCACATCTTCCTCCGCAAGCATCGCCCAAATCCTCCCCCCAAAAACCAAATCCAACAAAACAAGAATCAAAACCACAACCCCTTCCCAAGCCCCCCTCAAAAACCCCCCCTCCTACTCTCCAACACCTTTTCCGAAGCAGATAGTAAGATACCAACACTTACTCCCCTTCACCTTCCGCGCCCCTCGTACGCGACAGCACCGTAGGTCAAATACGTCGCCCGGGCCCCCTCTCCTCCCGTCCCCCTCGCCAACCCATCCATCACACCCATCACCAGCCCTCCCAACCCCTTCACGTACGCCCAGGCAAACCGACGCATCGCGGTCGCTGTATCATCGTCGAGTCCGGGCGGTGGGTCGTTGATCAGATCTACATCGTCGGGGTCATCGGTCAAGACGGTGACGTACTGTCCCCTCAATGGAATAGACGCTCCGTCCTCGCGCTCGTTCGGGTGGGTGGGGAGCCGGAATTGGCGCGGAGCGAGACGGTAGCAGTCGTTCGGATCGGCCGCGAAGCGGATGTTTGACGGGTTGGGGGGCGGCGGGGTGTCGACGGCGCGGTAGCAGTGTTTCGGGTTGGGCGAGAAGTGGACGTTGTTTGGAGACGGGCTGGGCTGTGCGATCGATGGTGGTAGAGGCTGGACGGGCTTTTCGCCTTCAGAGTCGACGGGGAAGTCGGGGTCCAGAGCGAAGCGGACTTCTGATCTCGAGCGCAGGAATGGCGTTGGTGGTGTGCTGGGTGGCTTGTGGGGGGAAGTTTTTGCGGTTGAAGGTACGGTCGTTGTGCTGGTTGACGAGCGCTGTGAGTTCTAAGAAAGATTAGGGGTGGCCAGAATGGATGATCAAGTGTAGTCTACAGGCGTGCCGCTGGTAGGCAGGTTTGTTATCTTCCACATGATGGCTATTGTTTTGCATTTGCTGTGAAGGTTCTGAGAGCTGAAGGCTAGCGACGACGGGAAAGTACGACAACAACTTCCAGAGAGCAACGGTAGTGCAATTAATACAAAGAAGGGAGAGTGTAAAGTGTGAAGCCAAGTCTGTCATATATCGAAAGTGATGGATAAAGAAAGAGAGAGAGAGGGAGAGAGAGAGGGAGAGAGAGAGAGAGATGTCACTGCAGGTTTGTGTGTTTTTAGAAACGCTTAGTTGTCAGTCAAGAGTAAGGATCACGTGACAGAGTAAACGGGTAAAGGAGTTGAATGGCCCCGCGTCATATCTTGTGTTGTACAAGATGTGAGCCGAGGCAAGACCTCCAAAACCAAGAGACCGACCTGACACTTTGGAGGTTGCATGATCTTGTACGTGGGCCTAGGGCCTCTTATCATCAACACCTATCAATTGTGGGTACTTCTCTCATATGAAGTCTTAGGAAGGCCAATACTCTAGCAGTTCAAGGCTACTCTCTCCAATAGGGATCCGAATACCTCGCTCGCTCGCTCGGCCTCCACCCTAGCCTACCGGAGGCATTTCCTCTTCTTGAGACCCACTGCTTGTCTCCGCCTCAGTCCACGGCCTAGCCTCTCTAGGCCATACCCTCTTGTACAGACTTACACCTACTGCGTCCTGGGGATTGATCTTACCATCGAAGGTAGCCTTGAAATACCCATGAGTTCCGAGACTTTCCTTGATGAAGCCACTCCTCCCTCGCTTCGTCCACAGCTGCAGAGCCTTGAACCACTGTACGTCTTCTTTGTTGAAGAACATGTACCGAACAGTGACAAGCTTCTTGTGAATCTTGTACGGGTGCCCAGTCAATATGACACGCTTGGCAATGACACGCGAAGTGGAGGCAGGGAGCGAGGTGCCCGTTGCTACCAAGCCAAGAAGTGTGCCAGGTATGGAAACCGATGGTTGGAAGAAAAGCGCAGGAACAGAACCCCAGGTGATCGGTGCGATGAAGGATGCGATGGCGGTCTGGCCAGGGTGGAGGTAGCGCAGGAACTTGTGAACATTGTTGGGGGTATTACCAGATTGAGAGTACATTGGATTGATGAAAAACCGACGAGAGCCGCACTGCAGGATCAACTGGTCTTTCGATCGCAGCGGGCTAGGATGGTCAGAGCTCAGTGTGACGCTGTAGTTGACCACTGTTCGTTTCTGCTCGTGCTGCAGAAACGAGTAGAGAGCCAACGGCCGTGTAGGATTGTGTGATTGCTGGAGAACAAGGGGCGCGTTGCGCAAATGTACGTGAACCCGTCTGCCAGGCTGTACACCGCCCACTAGAGAGTCATTGTCGACTTGCTTCTTCGCTCTCTTGTAGTCAGGCACTTGAAGTAATCTGTTCCACTCCTCAGGCTCATGTGCTCGGTCTTCGCTCGTCTCCCAATGGCTCGTTCTCAAGCTTTTCAGGCCTCTGTACCGTGCAAGTCGTTCTCGAGCGAGCACATTAGGATGAAGCTCGATCTCATCTGGGAATTCGAGATCTTCGTTGGCTTCGATCTTTCGCTGAGCTCTGTACTCTGCCAATTGAGCAGCTTCGTCATCTGGTGACGGATCCAGAAACATCTCGGATTGGGGGTATTCAGAGGGTGTTGCTTCGGTAGGCTCTTTGGGTGTGGCTTTGTCGAACCCTTCAAGCCCGTCCTGAGGTAACGCTGCTGCTTCCATATCCAGATCACCTTCATCGTCTACTGCATCCTCAAAGTCTGAGCCAGAATCAGACACGTCACCTAGAAACCACGCCGATTGGTAAGACGAAGTGCCTTTGGGTAAACGCTTGGGTGCATCCGGCAAATGTGTCTCGTCATCTGAGAAGTAATGATGATCATCAAGAAGGACTCCTCGTTTCTCAGTAGGCGCTTCTGAAGCCGAAAGAGCATCGACATCTTTCATAGTAGCCTCATAAGGTGCAAGCTCTGCAAGGTCCTCCTGTTCTGCGTCTGGCGCCTCAAGAACCTCATCGTTCTTTGCCTCGTCAATCGCCATTTCGTCAGCTTTTCGTTTTTTTGATATAGGGAGTGTTGCATCTGTGATCTTCTCGATCTGAAAATGGCCCCAATCGCCTACTTGTACAAGCCTGTTGGCTTTGAGTCCCTTTCCACGTACAACTCCCGTAACGACTACTTCACCTTCAGTACTAGCTTCAACGAGGTTGCTTGGCCATTGCACATTCTCCACCAGCATCCAGCTTCTGTCTTCTCGCCATTTGACTCCTTTTGGTGTCGTAGTGCACAGAGAGCGGATAACATTAGAGCACTCGCTTTCCGCATCCAGTGACAGAACCTTCTCCTGGTTTGGGAAGAAATGGGTAATGTAGGACTTCAAAGAGGTAACAACTTGCGGCCGCCTTCTGGCTGGTTCGACGGTGTCAAGATTCTGCACCACCGTAAGCACATTTGACACGCCTTGGCCTTCAATCATTTTGAGCAGTAGCTCTCCCTCCTCCCCAGGCTCCTCTGTAGGTGACAATAGGAAGATTACAAAGTCTGCCAACCGGCATGCATCAAGAGCAGTCATGAGGTCTCGTTCAACCGGCACGTATACCAGATTCTGCTTGAAACGATCCACTCGGACTCTCATATGCCCTTCCAGCGGCCAGAGGGACTCTGCATCCACCGCTTGATTTAATTTATGTATTGCAGCTACTGCGTTCATATCTTCACACAAGGGTACAACCGCGATGACCCTTGGTGCCCCATTCTGTCCAGCAAAGACACTCGAGGACTTGACATTTTGTTGGTGCTTTGTCTGCCTTATTTGGCGGGCTTGGTTCTTCCTGTCAAATTTGGACATGATTTGCTGATGAGGTGTCTTCCTGTTGGGCTTTACCTCCGTGCCCTCAACTTTCCCTTTGGCCAAATCTCGAATCAGGCTCTTGGTGGCATGCCGCGACTTGAATGGTTTGTGGGAAATCTTGGTGGTGTTCCGGTGATGATGCTCTGTCAGTGGTGCCATACCGCCACCGGCCTTGAATCGGAATGGGATAGAAGCCAGGATCGAGGATTTATGGTCTTTCGACTCCTTTGCGTTCTTGGTCAGATCGAGAAGTGTGAAAGATAAACCTTGTGGTTCAATATTTTTTGTGCCCTGTCGGCGTTTTTTTTTTTTTTTTTTTTTTTAAATCTTTCCTTTTTTTTTTTTTTTTTTTTTTTTTTTTTTTTTTTTTTTTAAAAATTTTGGCCCCCCCTCCGTTTTTTCCAAAAAAAAAAAAAAAATTAAAAAAAAAATTTTTTTTTTTTTTTTTTTTTTTTTTTTTTTTTTTTTTTTTTTTTTTTTTTTTTTTAAATTTTTTTTATTTTTTTTTTTTTTTTTTTTTTTTTTTTTTTAATTTTAAAAAAAATTTTTTTATTAATTTTATTTTTTTTAGAGGGTTTTTTTTTTTTTATGTTCGGGTAAATCACGCTAGTAGAGTTCTAAGGATAGAGCTATTAATTAGTCGAATTTAATATCTAACGTAAATCTCATTATTATTTATTATAATTCTTATTAAAAATTATTATAACTTAAGTTATATAGCTATAATAATCTAAAAAATAAAATAACTTTTAGAGATTAATAATATTAGCTTAAATATAATCTATAATAAATATATTTCTTATTAAAAGTTATAAAAAAAAAAAAAAAAAAAAAAAAAAAAAAAAAAAAATAATATGGGGGTTGTGTTAATTTGGGGGGGGAAGAGGGGGTAAAGGGGGGGGGAAAAAAATAGGTGGGGGGGGGGGGGGGGGGGGAGGGGAGGGGGAGCCCCCGAAGGGGCCGGGGAGAGGTGGGGGTAGGGGGGGGGGAAAATTTTTTACTACTACCCCCCCCCCCTAATAAATAAGTGGTTTTTTTGGGGGTGGGAGGGGGGTTGTTGGCCTTTTTTTTTTTTTTTTTTTAAAAAAAAAAAATTAAAAAAAAATAAAAAAAAAATTTTTTTTTTTTTTTTTTTTTTATTTTTTTTTTTTTATTTTTTTTTGGGGGGGGGAGAAATTATAATATTAAAAATTGGTTTTTGTTTTTTTTTTTTTTTTTTTTTTTTTATTTTAAATGGCCTTTTTTTTTTTTAAAATTAAAAAAAAAAAAAAAAAATTTTTTTTAAAAAAAAATTTTTTTTTAAAAATTTTTTTTTTTTTTTTTTTTTTTTATAATTTTAAAATTTTTTAAAAAAATTTTTTTTTTTTTTTTTTTTTTTTTTTTTAATAATTTTTTTTATTTTTTTTTTTTTTTTATTTTATTTTATATTTTTTTTTTTTTCCCCCCCTTTTAAAAAATTTATTTAAATTTTATTTATTTAATTTTTTAAAAAAAAAATTTATGTTTTTAAATAAATTTTTTTTGGTTTTAAAGTTTTTTTAATATATAAAAAAATAAAAATTTTTATTAATAAATTTTAATAAAAATAATTATTTAGTAATATAAATCTAAGAAATTAATTTACGAATATGAAAAAAATAAGATCTTTTTAAAGATATCGAATGATTTTAATTCATTTAAAAATATAATATTCGAGGATTTATCGATGTCTATACTAATTTCGACTATATTTATAGAGCTACTACGTTTTTAACTATATCTACTATATTCTTATAACTATATTATTCGTAAATCTAATATATTTATATAGTCTATCGTTTATAGGCCTAGTAGATTCGATCTATCGTCTATATTTCTCTAAATTAAAGCGAGAAATAATAGTATATTTATTACGCGGTTTACTTATATCTTCGAGTCTCGCCTTAATATACTATTTAATAAATACCTTTACTTTCTTATCTACTAGTCGTTCGATATATATTAGATTACGATATTCTAATATAATAAGATATTTCTTTAAATCTAATAATATCTACTTTCTTTTATATATAATATATTCGTTCTAAAGACGAAGATTTATCTTATTTCTTAAGTCGATTATAAGATCTAATTAAATAATATTAATCTAATATTCTTTATCGTTATACTTCTATATATACGCGATATATTTTATAAACTCTATATAATACTCGAAAAATAACTAATTATTACGTCTTCTAAAGATTAAGTAATTATAAATATTCCTTTATTAAATAATATCTAATAAAATCTTATAAAGATTACTTAGTTAATCTAGAAGGTCGTTAATTAAGAGATAAAGATTTTTTATAATTATTTAACGTCTAGATATCGTATACTCGATAGTCTTTTCTTTAAGGCGTAATATAACGTAGTTTATTTAAAAAGCGTAGATAGAATAGTAGTCTTTATTAAGACTAAGTTTATTTATAATTCTTATTTTCTAATTCTTAAATTTAGATCTATTAATATCGTTAAATATAGGCGAATTTAATAATCTCGAACTAAGTGGCTATCTAACTAACTATGACGAGATTAGTCGATATCGATATTTTAATACTTCGAAATCTCGTAATATAGGTGAAGATAGAAACGAGGGTAGAGAAGTAGAGATGCTAGTCGAGTTTACTGGCCGGAAAGATATAATATATTCTATAAAATATTCCATATTAAGTAATATCATATCGTACTCGAGTATAATATGAATAGGGTCGGATATCATTTCATTTTTCTAATATGAATTCGAAATCTTAGCGGGATATTTTACGGTATAATATATCTATAATATTATATTATAAAATAATATATATATAAGATATCTCGATTAGAATTTCTATATTTATAGAATAATTCGACTAAGATATATAGAATATATTTATTCTTCTTTATTAAGAGAGAGGGAATATAAAAAGTAATTTAATATAGCTATTTATCTTCTTATTAATAGTAATAATTAGAATAATAATTAGAACTATAAGCGTCTCTATTCTTCTTTTTAAAATTATAATATAAAAGAATATTTTAAATTTTAAATCTTTAAATATTATAAGAATAAAATTCTATAATTATCTTTATTTATATATTTATCTTAACGCGTTAAATAAGCTTAATAAACTTTATATTCGTTCTTCTCTTAAACTCTCTACTACTCTTCTATTCTACTCTATTATAATTCTTTTAAATATCTTAAATCTATCTTTATTTAATTAAACTTATTAACTATTTATAAATAGATTCGCTTTTTAAATTATTTTAAATCTCTTCGTTAAGATTAAATCTATTATTATTAATTCTCTCTAATTATAAATTTATTAATTATTTCTCTATATATTATAAAGTATTAGCGATATATCTTAATAAACTTATAAATATTAGATTTATTAGAGTACTTTTTATAAGCTTATTATCTTCGCTAATATAATTATTATAATTATTAATTAAATTTTTATATAAAGTACTATTAGCTCTTTTAATCTAATTTAATATACTAAGATCTTTTTTAAAATTAAGTTTAATCTATTTAAGCTCGTTTTCTTAATATTTTATATAAAGAATTATTATTAAAATATAGAATATCGCTAATAAATAATACTTTTAAGTATTATAATATCTTTTAATTATTAAAAAGTATAGCTTATATATAATAGTCTTCGCGAGAGAATAAAGAATATTATAAGTTATTTAAGTAATTATAGCGTATTTAAACTTTAATTTCTTCTATTACTTTAAAATTAAAAGATTTACTAGATTATTAAAAGAAGCTTTATAAAGATTAAAGATAAGATTATAATTAGAATAATAACTAGAAAACTTATTATTTCTTTTATATTACTAAAGCTAATTATACTTATTCTTATTATCTAAATTCTTAATCTTAAATTTTATTATTTAATTAAATATATTTTTATTTAATTAACTTATTCGCTTAACTCTTTATAATTAATTACTTATATTAATATTTTAATAATTTTAAAATATTCTTTTAAGCGTTTTCTAGTAAATCTTTATCTATAACTTCTTTCTAATATTAATCTTTTAATTTAATTTCTTTAATTTTATATTATTATAATTTAGACGTAAAAGCGTAGCTTATTTATATAAATAGTTTAAATCTAATTAAGTTCGATTATAGTAGATAATTAATTTCTTATAAATTATTTTAAAAGCTTTAAGAAGTTCTTTTTTCTAAAAAACTCTCTTTCTTCTTAATTTTCTAAGCTTTTTATTTATATAATTAAATAGATAATTATAAACGTTAAAGACGTAGTAAATTATAATCTTCTTTTCTTTATTTATTAACTTTATAAATTTATAAAAAAATCTAATAAGTTAAATTAAATATTAAATCTATTAGAAATTAATCGAAAATTATTTAAACGTCTAGATTATAATTTTTATTTATAATTATTTTTTATTATTTAATCTTAAGTAAATAGTTAATCTATTTTTTAAGAAGTATATAATATCGATATAAAGAAGTAGAGCGCGGATTAATATCTAATAAGTTAAATTTTAATAAATTTTAATATTCTAAAAGAGCTTAAAAGAGCGTTTTTAATAATATTACTCTTCTTTAGAAGATTAATATTTATTTAATATTAAAACGTTTTTATCTTAAAGCTATTTAGCTTATAATATAAAAAAGATTTCTTTACGCTAGCCGCTAATATTAATATATATAATAATTTTTTAAATTTTAATATAATTAATAATATAATAATTAGAATAATAATAAGAAATATTATATCTTTATTAGAGTTATTAATAAGCTAATTATATTTATTTAAACTTAATTTTTATCTTCTTTATTATTTTAATTTTTTTAAAATTTCTTATTTATTAAAATAACTCTAATATTATCTAGAAATTCTTTTAAGATTAATTAAATAATATACGCTATATAGAGAATATATTATAAATAATTTAAGAACTTAAATTCTCTAATATTAAGCGAGTTTTTTATTATAGAAATAGAAAGATAAATAATTAAATCTTCGAAGAGTATACTATTATTACTAGCGTTATTAATTATAAATTTAAATATATAAGATTAAATTTTATATTCTATAAGAATTAAATTAATAATATTTATAAGTTTCTAATTAGTATATTTATCTTCGATATATTCGAAGTCTATAAGA